CCTGAAGTCTTGAACACGTTTACACGTTTGGTCGGGGAAAAAAACATTATATAATATTATATATACTATTAGTGTAGTATAATACTACAATATTGTATAATTTAGAAACATGTAAGCTGTTCTGGTAGCAATTATCACTAACACGTGTCAAAACAAACATCTGAAAAACTTGTAGAATACATACTAAAAGTTCCTKTCGAATAACTTTTGATCATGTAGTTAAAATGTGTTGTTGAATACCTATACCCATTTTACGTAGAATCATTTTCYACAGAGTTTATTTGTTTTCTGTTGGTACCATAAAGATGTGTAATAATAATAGTATCTTTTGTATAGTAATTGAGCCAGTTCGAAGTTCATTCGACAGAAGTTTTTTTCTCTTATTTTTTATCGGAGTATGAGGCTTATACGGAGGAACGTAGTGGGTTGGTTAGCTGTTTTTATCATTCCATCATCAAAACGTTCGTCCATCTGATGCGTCTATACAATTGTAATAATATTATTGCCTTTAGTTCAAGCGCCACGAGCGACTACATACAATAGAATTAAACTGCGCCTAATATCGTTTTACTACGGACGTTTGACATTCGCTGATCTATTATTGTCGTCCACGGTTTATTACTACTTTTTATACGTATATAAACATTCGATCTGTTCGATAAAGCCGCGTTATTTTTTCAATCAAACAAATGAATCCGAATCGTAATTCGTCTGAATTGACAAGCACACATATGTGTATATATATATATATAAATACGGTTAAATACGCACGAAACGACCCTTAGCTGCTGTGCACATTGCAGGATATGGTTTTTATTGGGGTCGTAACATTTTCGGAACGCTCGCCCGATGGGCCGCAATAATAAACAACATCGGATGAGTAYATAATTAACTACTAACGGCTAAGACACACCTTTAAGAGATTTCCGATTTTATTGCGTTCGCATAATACTACGCGTGACGCATCTGCCGTTCGCGGGCCAAAAGCAACTCAAMAGTAAAATAACATCTGTTTAATATGCATTATATTAAAGTATGGCATCGACTTCATTTGTTGAACATCTAAGCCCGACCATATGTTTTAAACTTTGGTTGGGTCATTTAAATCCAGTTAACCAGTAAATGTAACTGCGATTAAAACTCTTCGTGTAATACTATACACTTGACTCCGAAAAGGCTAAATACAATCTGGCAGTCTGACACGGAGACACAAGTTTCCGGAAAATCGGTTATACCTG